CCCCCCCCCCCCCCCCCCCAACCACACCCGAAAGTTCGGTGAAGGATGCAAGCTTGCAGCCCAAGCCCGAAGCCCCAAATTTCTTGAGAGTAGTTACTTAGGGGTATCATGCTGAAAGGGGTGATGCACATGTAGGGAGACCACACTTTAAGTGCCAGCTACATTGCAATCCCCTCCGTGGCCCCTGGCATTTGATGTTTTGTGGTTTGGCAGCGTAGCCTCTCGGACTTAAGCCCTGAAGCCTCAAAGCCTTTTAGGGTTTAGGGTTTANNGGGTTCAGGATTTAAGGTTTAGGGTTCAGGATTTAGGGTTTAGGGTTTAGGATTTAGGGTTTAGGGTTTAGGGTTTAGGGTCTCCTAACGCTGATTGAACCCAGCAGGAAAACCCACTGTCCTGGCGCCTGAACTCCAAAATCATGAACCTCCAACCCTGCTGCTAAGGCCTAGGCTCCCTTTCCGAGGGATGCAAGCCTCCCCTACACCCTAAACTCAAAAGCCCCTAAACCCTAAACCCTAAGCCCTTGTCCGAGGTGGCATCTTTAGCTTTGGCTGTGGCTGCAGTCGCCCTCGTTGCTGCGGCACCGCGGACGGGGGAGTTTGGGTTAACTGGCTTCCTCGGTGTGGCATGGGGTTTCAGGACTTCCTGCCCCTTAAGCTCTAATCACTCTACAATCCGACTCCAACCCCCTTAGTAGTGTGTCCCTGACCCCTGTAGGGTTGACGGGGCACGCAGTGTCTGGATGGAAGCACGGGATCGGAGAACTCTGGTCGCAGTTTCGGTCTTAGGGCTTTCTTGGGGCAACAGGTCTTCGTAACTGCGCAGAACCTGGGCCCAAGGCTTAGACCTAAACCTGCGCAGTCCGCAGCATCTTACAATCCCCCGTCGTAGCCCATGGCAAATTTCTTGCAACTCTCCGCAACGAACGTTCAACAGCCCTTACTTTTCTACTTTCTGATGTCGCGTTGTGGGGCCTTCAGATTTGGCGGGAGAGTGTTGGGCCGTTTGGTCGGTTCTTTTCAGGTCTTTCGGACTGTTATAGAGGTTCGGTTCAGGCGTAAGGAACCTCGACACCCTCTGATTCAAGAATTTAGAGGTTTAGGGGTTTAGGGTTTAGGGTTCAGGGTGTGACAGATGCATGAAAACGGGTAGACACCTTCAACTCGCCGCTTTGCTGTGCTATGTTTAAGCCTGAAAGACCATTGCATGTGGTCGTAGACTGCGGGCGTAGCTCTCGATTGTGACATTGTGGCAACCAACCTGAAACGGTACGAAGTTCGCATGTAGAAATAAATAGTATTATGTTCAAATTGAAGTACATATAAATACATATCGTTGTGCATAATATTGGATATGAAATTGATGTAAGTACCTGTGTATATACAGTCGTAGATATACACATGTACATGCCGATGTATAGACAATCTTCATACTCGTCACACCCGACACCGAGCCCGTAGACTTGACTGCTGTCATGCCATGGAGCTGGCTTGTGCCAATGAGCAGTGCTCATACCTGGTGCACCGCACTGAGCCCTTCGGCGGATTCTGCTGCAAGAGATGTCATCAGTCCTGGAGCTCTGGTCGCCCGGCTCAACATGGCTTTCTCTGTGAGCAGCGCTCTGCACAGCGACACGCAGCCCGAGCTCCGCCCAGACAGCCGCAGGACCCACTTCCAGCCCTGAAAAGAAGGAGGAAGGCGCAGCAAGTGCCGCTTCAAGAGCCCACCACAAGGTCGCTGCAGCACGCACCGTCGGCTTCCTCCAAGCCCTCTGCATCAAGGCTTTCGACACCAACGGCACCAGTGGCACCGGCGTCTCCGCCACCAGCCCCTGCTGACGCGTCGATAAAGGCGCCACCTCCGCAGCCGGTGCAACGAGAACCTGCAGCACCGGAACTGCCGCGACCTGGGCTGGCACCTCGTCCTTCACCTCTCTGGGACGGCAGCTGGGCTGACAACTTGATCCGGCGTTGCACTCAACACCTGCTGCCGTTTGTCTCGAAGGCGATCCAGAAACCGAAAACTGAAGAGACAATGGCTGCTGTTCCCGCCGTTCCCGCCGTGATAGACGTAAATGACGACGACGACTCTCCTGTGCTATCGCGGCGGACTCCCAACGAGTTGGTAAGGGGCGGCGTGAAGCGAAGATGGTTGGGGCTTGCTCCCAACACTACTAGACCTCTTCCTTCTGACCCGTCGCGAAGTGTGAAGACAGAGGTCAAGCAGGAGGTCAAAGGCGAGGTCAAGGAAGAGGTTGGTCTTGAAGACGAGGCGGAGACTGCAGAAGACAAAGAAGCCGAAGACGAGCAAGTGCCCTTGACAACGGGACCGAGCTCAAGCACCTGACTTGTTTTTTTGCCCCTGCGAACTCGCGCTTTCCAGAGCAGCTTGCAAAAGTTGGGGCCTAAATTAAGTGGTGGGTTTAGGGTTTACTGGTTCCCTGTTGGGGCTATATTAAAAAGGATCATGTTTTTATCCTTATTGGGTTTTTGATATAACAAACATGTAAAATTGTAGCCCACAAGGAGCCAGTTCAGGGTTTGAGCATGTTTGAGCCAGATTGCTCGCAGGCCTTTACCATGAGGGAGTGGGTCCGGCACTCAGCTCGGCTCGTGGAGCCGGACACTCCGCACGCGGCACACGTCATAGCCTATCTCTTGGTAAAGGGTGTATGTAAACTGTGTATGTATATAGAAATCTAAAAGTATGTATGTAATGGCTTATTTTGAACGCTGAACCCTTTGTAACTGAGTTGTAGGCATCTTAGAGCTAGTGTTTTGTAGCCGTCTGCGGTTTAAACTGCACGGCTCAGGGATGTCGCTGGCCTATATAAGGGCAATCCCAAAGCTTGAAGCTTGAAAACTAATGCCGTTACCATCTCTACCGTCAAAGATCCAAGCTATCTTAACACCAAGCTAACCCGAAAATCGGACATCTGAGACCCCAGATCCAAAACCCTGCGGTCTAAGCTGCAATTCGAGAGCCTAAACCCCAGACCTTCGACCCGTAGGCCCGAAAGACCACCGGTTCAAGCTAGCAACCAGAGTGACCGATATCAACGATACCGCAGCGAACAGTTTTGGTAAACTAAGCAGTCCTCTATCTTAATCCAAAATCCCATGGGCTTGGGCTTGCTTCCTTCTTTATGGTAGGGACTGCAGGGGTTTCGGGTTCGGGTCTTTGTTGTTCCTACGATTTTGAGGGTCTCGAGACTCCACATGTAGGATTCAGACTTTCGACGTTTACACCGGTGTCGTCGCAGCATTATCGGTCCCCTCACTGCCATTGCCTCGACACATTTCGGCAAAAAACTGCAGAGCTTCACCTACGCTGCGAATGCTTAGCTCAACTGCGCTGTACTCTCACTAAACCCTAAACCCTAAAACCCTAAACCCTAGTATCCTAAACTCTAAACCCCAATATCCGAAACTGTAAACCCAATATCCTAAAATCCGCTAAGCCCTAAAACGCCCTTTGACCCCAAAGCCTTTCAACTCCGTAAGCAGACCTGAGGCGAATCCCTACGATCACTTGGGCCTGGACGCGCTGCTGCAGCTGCAGAGCCTTGGGCACAACTTCAGGGTTTATCAGGGTTTCGTGCCTAGGGGTTGCAGTCTTCTTCGGATGTAGTGAAGGCTTTGGGTGAAGGGTTCAAAAGGCTGTCGAGTTTAGGGTCACTTCCAACGACATGTCCTTGCGAAGGGGAGTACCTGTGCTTCTTAGGGTCTTAGGGATCACCGTCACCTATACCTTCCATTGTCGTTCGTGTTTTGAGTACGAGTACTGCCCCTTCAAAAGTTGAGGGTCGTTGCTGAAGAAGAGTTTGAGCTTCGTTGGGGAGTATCAACCGTAAACCCCAAACCCTCTAAACCCCGAACCCTGAACCCTGAACCCCGATCCCTAAAATCCTAAACCCTAGTATCCGAAACCCTAAACCCTAGTATCCTAAACCCTAAACCCAATATCCTAAACCCTAAACCCCAATATCCTAAACCCTAAACCCAATATCCTAAATCCTAAACCCCAAAATCCTAAACCGTAAGCCGTATGTGGTTTGAGTCCGGAGAAACATGCCTTCTGTGGGTTGCCGTCGGCTTAAAGTTCGGCAGCTTAGGGAAGTGAAGGTTTTTGGGGGCCGGGGGGGTGGGGTGGGGTGAGCCGGGTTGGGGGCTTTGTGAAGGGTTAGGGTTGAGGGTTTAGGGATTAGGGTTTAGGGTTGAGGGTTTAGGGTTTAGTGTTTTAGTGTCTGACAGATGTAAAAGTTCACGGGGCATAGTATACAAGTCCGTTGTGACTGGTGTCATAAGTACCCTAATTTGAGCTATCCTCGCGGTAACCCTGGCTATCATGTACTACGTAACTGTTGAGCCGCGAATAATCGAGATAAGGAGGATGCCCTAAACCCTAAACCCTGAAAGCCTCGTGCATTTGAGACCTATCACTTCCACCCGACCAGCTGCATGCGTGCATGGGCTGTTGGGCTTGATGCTGCGAGGTATGAAAACCATACACACGCACACACACACACACATACATATATATATATATGTGTACATACGTGTGTATATAGAAATACACTGTATACACATATGTACGCATCCATCCATCCATCCATACATACATACATGCATACATACAAACATACACACATACATACCTACCTACCTACCTACCTACCTACCTACCTACCTACCTACCTACCTACCTACCTACATACATACATACCTACATACCTACATAAATACATACATACATACATACATACATGCATACATGCATACATGCATACATGCATACATGCATACATGCATACATGCCTACATACATAAATGCACAGATACATACATATACTTGTACATCTACAAATACATATACATGTACATACTCGTCTATCTACCCGCCTGCCTATCTATACATCTATCTATATGTCTATCTACCTACCTACCTACCTTCCTACCT